GAGAGGAGAGGAGAGGAGAATCTTTACTGTCATCCTTCATTTCATTGTGAACTATTCAAGTAAATATTTCTCTGGTAGCAACCTTCCAGATGAATCAAGAATATAATCCAAACCTACTGTCAGATTACATTTGATTTACTGCCTAAGTCTCTTCAAATGGAGCAGGAATTTGCCCGTTTCTTAGGTTTGGGGTCTCGGGCTTCCTGATCTTTCACACATATACAAGACGTGCACATTGTCTCAGAAAGTCTTCGGAGGCCTAGCCGGAAAACACTGTTGGAGAGGCTGTATATCACACAGTTACAAAAGCTATTACTTATAGCCAGCCAGGTTGTTAAAAAGGACAGTGTTGGATTGTCCAAGACTCTGGAGCTTTCTAGAAGAAAGTAAATAATATAGGGGAGCCACAGCATATAAAATACACTGGTTATTCTAAATAAAACCATGGCATAGCGTCGGTCAGGGCTGTGTCCTGTGTCTCTGGAAGTATCTACTTCATGACTGGGGAATCGGGCCCTTCGGTCATTTATCTCTTTGGTGTGCTGCCGGCAAATTCTGAAAATGTGAAAGTAAGTGAAGCAGACAACAAAAGCAGCAGGAGCATAAAGTAAACAAACAATAAACCCAGTAAAATAGGCATTCGTGAGCCAAGAGGTGGCACACCATTCAAAAATGTCACCATGGTAACCAGGTTTCCCCCAGCCAAAAAATGAAGGCAAAAAAATTAGGCAGGAATAGATCCAGATCAAAATAATGCAAATTCTCAGGCGACAAGGGGTGACCAGTTGATTGTAGGAAAGAGGCTTGGTGATTGCAAGATAGCGATCCACACTGATGCAAGCAAGACAGGCCATAGAAACACTTTTTAGAACAGAGATAATATATCCAAAAACCTGGCAAGTCAGTGACTCGTGGACACCTGTGGAGTAGTGAAGAAGTGACAGAGTAGGAACCAAGCAGCTAACTCCAACGAAGAGATCAGCATATGCCATTGTCTGTATAAAATAGCTGGTAGTATAATGATGTAAGAGTGGAGCACAATGAAAGACAAAGATAACGGTTAAATTCCCAGCAATGATTAGAAAGGTCAGCAAGACAATAACAACTGTCTCAAGGATGCAGACATCCACTGCACTGTAATGACCAAATCCAAGTGGGCAAGAGTGATGCTCAGACACATTCACAATGTCACTGCTCATGTTCAGAATCTTCCATTCAGTCCACCTGGATTCATTCATGGCTTGGAATTAAAAGGACTTGCAGTGTTGGCTCCAGCAAGCAGGTACCCTTTCCAGCATCTGTTAAAGTCAGCACACAAGTGCCTCACAACCTGCTTCAGCAGACAGTGCCGGTGCTTCTGTTACAGCTGAGCGCCCCAGAGTGCTCAGGTCTCTTCATCAGCCTTAGTTCACCACTGAGACATCTCAGCTTTGGGGAATAAGACAGGAGGGTAAGCTAGAAGGTGAAAAAGTTTCTGATTGGCTTCTTCAGGTACTCTCAAGTAACTTTTTGCAGACACAAGGCACTTCTAAAGAAAATACTGTAGATCGGTTACCTTGTGCTATAAAAAAATAAATCTGTAAAAAGAAAAAACTTCCAAGAAAAGGAAAGCTTCTGTGTGTAGGCTGTTTTTCTCTCCTAAGAGAGGTAGTTTCTTAGGGATCAACTAGGAAAAAAAGAGAAAAGAAAATCTTAAATTGTCTCAGACTTCCTGCTTCATCTACGATGGAAAATGCATTTATATTTTAAAATTTAAACAATTAAGACCTCAGATTTGCTTGGAAAGCTAAGAGAGAAAGTTCATTGTGGCAAAGAGTGTCCTCGGGCTCAGTTCAGGTTTGATGCTGACAGGTCAACTTTGTGATCCAGTTCTTTCTCTCTCTCTCTCTCTCTCTCTCTCTCTCTCTCTCTCTCTCTCTCTCTCGTAAGAAAAATTCTATTATGGTTAATTCTAAGAATTATCTCTATTTAGGCACAAAGGAGTAAAATACAGGTAACGAACTCCAGACTGCCATGTAACTCTCATTAGAAAGCAAGCAATGTATATGTCTAGTAGAGAAGATAACATACAATGAGCTAAAAGATTAACATCTGAAAACAATATAGTATAAATTTCTAAAGTTTTAATTCTGCAGGCATTTTTAAAGCATTTTTTGAGGAAAACAGGTTTAGTCAATTACAGTTTTGGGTGCTACTAACAGCAATGTAATTTATACCTCTTCTCTTTCAAAATAAAATCTTTTTAGCCATTAAACTCAGCATTTATAACTGAATAACTTTTTCCTTATAATGAGCATTACAGTTAAATTTTTGCTTAATGTTAATTCTTTTTCTTATAACCTTACACCCATATGCCACATATATTCAAATATAGATGAAACTGAGAAAACAGAGTTTCCTATACATTGAGCTTATATGACTACAAATACTACCATTACTTATTTCTAATGCTTTCATATACTATTATACTTTTATATTTCCATTATATTATTGACACATTAAATCATTATTTCAATTAAGTCTTCTGAAAGTGGAAAATTACCTTGTTTATTACATTTGGAATTATGTAGCCACACGTTAAGAAAATGCCTCTTCTATTTCTGAATTCTATTTTGAACAAGTGCTCAATTAATACCAGGACCATTAGGTAGGGTTTGAGATAGACTTGCTTTAAAATACCTCAAAACATCAAGATGAATTTAAATCCTCGAACTTGAAATACTGAAAGGCTGACAGGATAAAATCCATCCAAAAGGCTTCCAAGGTCATTCCTGTATCAGGTTTACATTTACCAAAGTCTCCCCCACCCCTTACAGTACAGGCATTTCCAAGAGTCTCTTGTCAGTCCTTTCTATAGCTCTTGAGGAAAAGGCATACACTAGAAATAAAAACATTTTCCTTCAGGAACAATGCAGCAGCTTAGTAGAAAGCATTCTTCAGAAAGTTATTTTCTGGTGCACCACCACATCATTCAGGGAAATCCTTCTTCTGTGATAATCACAGGATATTCCTTTTACATTCTTAGTTTCATTTATCACAAAATAGTTCTCTTGTTACAGGAATAAGGTAATGCTTCTCACCTACATTCACTCTTATCAGCTGCTAGACTAAGCTGCTTGATTCAGAAGTCCGATTTACTGTGATGCAGTTACCAGGATGCTGTCGGTAGATTCTTCACAATCTCTCAGTATCACTGCCTGCTTCCACCTGAGCCCAAGCCCTGCTCCTCCTCCTCATCCTAAGCTGATGCAGAACTCACCATCAGAAAGGTGACTCGGTCCTCCTGCCCCAATCAACAACACAGCCAATGGCTACTGCAGCTGAAACTGTCACTAGGTAACAGTTGCCAGGCACATGCAGGCTTATAGACTTCTCAGCAAGCTCCGATGAAGACTGACAAAAGGAGACAATGGAACTGACCAATCCTTATAATATGCTAATCGCATTTAGGAACTTCTAGAGGAATTTTCCCGATACTTTTTGTACATATTATATCCTGTGAACAGTACAAAAAAAAAAATAAAGAACTGGAATACACCTTTAAACTCTGTGGAAAAACTACCACAAGGTACTGTGACACTAAAAAGTCAGCAGTAACCTAATGCTCATTGGCAGGAAAAACTTATTAATTATTAAAAATCAGCCAAGTCTTCATGACCTGAAGTGATATGACTATTTTTTCTATATAATACATAGTCAAATTTTGATTAGAAGTTAAAAGCCATTTACTCATCTATCAAATCTTAGCCACACCCACACAATATTGATGAGTTTAATATATTTAACTGTACAAACAAAACACTAGACATAATACTAGTATGTTAAAATCTGTTCAGAGAAATCCTTAAGCTCAATTATGATCTCAGATGAATATACACATCAGAATAAATAGAAACACTGTGCAGTCCACTTTTATCCTAATATGTGGAAAAGATCAAAGGATCAAAACATTTATCATACAATGCTTGAGCTACACAAGAGCCAAGTTATAAGACAAATTAGATATTTGCTCAAATATTTGCTAAATATTAAAGACATTAATTTTTTATGTACTACAGATAACCACTTACCTATTCTAAACATATTTTTCATGATGTCAGCACTTTTTAAAAAACTGATTTGAACTGATTTAAAATTTATTTCGGAATTAAGATAAATCAGAGAAATTAAGGTGAAAGTACAAGATAACTGATATTTTTTCAGAGCACATTCTACGTGTCAAACATGGCATTATGTGCATATTTTCTCTATAAAACTGTTAACTCTTTATGGAGTTCCATAATTGTCATTTGCCAAATAAACAAAGTGGGCACTAAGCAAAATCAGTGCAGATCACCTTCAATTACAGAGGTGTGAACCCAGTCAAAATTTTTACTCTTAACAGCATTTTTGATAAACCTCATCTTCTTGTTCTTACTGATGGCTGTCAGAAAATGTTTCAGGACAATTACTTCAAATTTCATAAAAATAATATCTCAAGTACACAAAGTTCCATTCCTTCCTGCATATGTAACTTTCTTTCAGAAATACTATGATATTGCTAAAATCTTTGAAGGTTTAGGTAAAATATAGAATGGTAAGTATACTCCTCCTTACCAGAAATATTTATAAGACCAGTTAGAATAAAAAAAAATTGTAATAAATACTCTCAGTTTAAAAGAAGATATTTAAAATTAATATAAAAGAACTAGAAAAGGGCTGCAGAGATAGTTCAGCTGTCTAAGCGCCTGCCTAGGCAAGCACAAAGAGCAAGGACCAGGTTTGATCCCCAGTACCATATCCTGGGCCAGCCACGTCCCAGGTGTGCAGAGCTAGCCACCAAACCCAGGATGGTGGCGTACACCTGTAATCCCAGTGCTGGGGAGGCTGAAACAGGAGGATCACTACGAGTCCAAGCTGTGTAGTGAGACCCTGCATCAAATACATAAATTTTTTTTAAAAAATAATTAGAAAGTCCTATTTTACAGGGAAGCATTTTTACTTTAGGAGATACCTAAAAGCATGAGCTTCACTACAAAATAATTCTACAATTAAATCAATCAGTTACTAAAGCTAACTCAGTCACCAAAAATTAAATGTACCATTTTAAAAGTATAGGCTTACACATTTAAAAATAGTTTTTAGTTGTAATATTTCTAAAATTAAGGAAACAGAAAAAAAAAAAACTCATTTGAAGAATTAAAACTAGATCGCTGTTTTGACACATATTTCTAAAAAAAAAATCCTGGCAATGATTTGAATCTAAAAATACTGTATATAATCTAAATTACACATGCTTCCAATGACATATGCACATGAGACATTGTAAGAAGCTACGCCTCTGACCCATGGAGCCTCTTTCTTTCCACTAACTTAAAAGAAAAAAGTTTCAATAATTCTAACAAGGAAATGTTCTTCTTCCTAGCAACTGGTTGTACTAGTCCCTGACTTTTATTCTTTTCTGTGCTTTTTTTCTGTGCTTTTCCTTGATATGATTACAATGGGAACTAACTGATAATATGAAGGTCTAATAATAAGAGAACATTGATATCATATATTTACATAGCTCATTACATGCAGCATTCTTTGTTTTCACATTAGGCATCATTCTCTTCATTGTAAGGGTCATTAGGTGTTTTATTATTACCATTCTTTTTATAATTATGACCAACTATTTCTGTGTCCTTTAAACTGATGAATGCTAATCAAAAAATATGTAAGAGGAGTCATTACTTGGGATTACTTCAGAACTACTTCTAACAGCTAAAAGTATGTAACATCACTAGAGGATATACCACAAGCATCTGGTTTTTTTATTTAAAAGCAATCATAGCAAGCAAACACATAGAGACTAAAGCAATCATTTCATTTTTAAGACATTTTAAGGTACCAAAAAAGTGCATGTATTCAAGCTACACCAATTTCCTCAACTACCCCTCCTCTCTGCTAACTTTTCTCCATTTTTACTCTCATCCAAGGCAAGCTAGAATGATCTGACGCTTGGACAACTGAGGTGGTTTCCAAACTAGTCTCTAAGTTGTTTATGGCTTCTTCTCAATTCATTATCCACAAAACAGTATATTCGCTCCAAAATGCAAACCAGATCATGTCACTCCCTGTTTAGAGTATTTCATGGGTTTTATACTGCACTTAATATAAAATCCTAAAACATCTTATGAAATCTAGTCCCCATGTATCTGTCCAATCTCATTTCTTTTATTTAGTATTCCCCAAACTGTCTTTGCCTATCCTAGCCCATCCCCCTCACCCTAGTTCTGTATACATCTGT